CCAGACAGAGTTCCTGCTGCTGGTTGATTCAGTTTATTAGTGTGTATTAATAACATGATATTCATAATATATTTCTAGAATATCATTGTTTCTGCCAACTCCAGGGTAACCATCCCTTAATGAGCATTAATTAATCTGTTGCAGTCATAAAACCACACATTACTATAATCACAGTTGGCCTGACATACTTGGGTTTACGGCTACAAGAGGCCTCAATCAAACATCCCAAGTGTCCATCGATTCCTCAACGTTCAGAGCACTTGCCTCAATGTGGCAGACTTCTACCTCCCCAGTCATTGACACCATGTCAGTGTAAACTCCACCACATTTTTCAAGGGCACATTGACAGCAGTTGCTGAGAAATGAAGGAAAACAGAGCAGGACCTCTGTTTACTCAAAGGCTGCTGACAGCGAGAGGAAATGCAGGAAATTCTCAAAAGAATGAGCTGCCAGCTGCTACTACATGACCCAGGGGCAATTCAGCAATTTACAAGTAAGATATCTGACTCAAATTATTATGCAGGGTTATTTCAATGCCTTTCCCACTTGTGAATAGAGAGCGCGGTAACAAGCTCGCAGATCTACTGTGTAGTACAAGCAGATGGTTGCTGCGGACGACCATGATTCTCCAAAAAGAAAACATGGCAAAATAAATGTTCAGAGGTTTATTAAATACTGAATGTATTTATCTACACTCAAAAGGAGACCAAATACATCTTGATGGTCAAATTTTAAAGCCGACAAACGTCGACAAATATGCAAGATGAAGAGCAACATCAGTGGATTCTCAGTAGCACAGTTTCCTCTGAAGGAGATCCAGACAGGACATCTTCCTCTTTGAACAAACACTGCATGTCCAATGGGCAGCCGTCCGTAACCACAGAGCTGGTTAAAGTTCATTTACACCACACATTTACTTTCACAGTGAAGTAAAATGGGATTGGTCTAAATGTATCCATAACCAATCAGAAGTGGTGCCAAAAGAGGACCTCAGCCAATCAGAGTGAGGAGAGGTACAGTGAATTAGAAGGATGTGCTGAAAAGGACACTGCTCGTCTGCATTTAACACACTCATTCTCGCTCTCGTTTTCTTTCACCTGTTAAAAAAAAAAAACAAAAGAGGATCAAACCTGAGGTACTTCCAAGAGAAGCCAATCGTTCTCCTTCCACTCCACTACGGTGTCCAATTGCACATCACAGTCCCCCTCCCCAGAGCAATAAACACAAGCACAGGAAAATAAGTTGACGCACTTTATTCCTAAAACAGAAGCCATACCACCAGCTGCTGGCATGGCATTCATATATAATTATTTATATATATTGCCGTTTGGTTTTGTGTCTAAATGTGTGGTATAAAATACTATATACAACAATGTACCTCTTTATTTGAACACAGTGAAGTTCATTGCTGTACAAGTCCTCTGAAGCTACAGCTTTGCTGTAAGTCCTTCATGCTCACAGGCATGAAGCATAATTCTCCACTCTAATTCTTCTGTACATTGTGACAATACAAATATTCTGTCTCCATTACAAAAAATAATACTCTAAAAGCAACCTACTGGGACTTTATTTAATTTTTATGGGATTTTTCCTGGTTGTTTTATTAATTAAGACGATTACATATATCTTAGACCAATTGCTTTAAAGCAGGAAGGTGATATAAACCTTCTCCATTTTTTATATATAAAAGAGGTTAAGAAATAAGACAAATTATACATTTAAAAACTTACAATAAATAAGATAGATGCAGGCATTTCATTTGGATACTATTTCATCCAAAGGAATAAAAAGGAATTTCTTGTCTTAAAACCAAAGATCCATTCTTGAGTTTTTCCTTGATCAAATATGTCCCTTTTCTTCCAATAACTTTACAGATAGACTCGTCTCTCCGATACAGACTGGCCAGTGACTGCGCTGCCATGCTACTGTACATGACAGCCAATCTGTCATTCTCTCACGTTCAATAATTGCGACTTAACTTCTGGGTTGCCCCTCTTCTTTATTCCCTTGTCTCTATGTGCATGTCTTTAAATCACAGGGACAGGACTGTCTCAACCAGTAACATCCACAGATGTGGAGACGGGACTGGCGAGGCTCTGAGCAGCCGCGTAATCCCGTCTGGGTGCAGGATCCAGCTCTGGTTCTCTTCACTCGTGATGAAACACCCGTTGGAGCTGTCGCGTTCCTCTTCGGTGAAATGCTTCTCTTACACGGCTCCTGTAACAGGCCGTCGGTTACAACATGTTCATGATGAAGTTGTACATCTGGTTGAGCACCACAAAGTGAATGGGCAGACACGATCGTCGGTCCTGCGTGGCCGGGTCACACGTCAGCCAGGAGAGGGCGTTGTACTGCTCTAGCACAAATCTGTTCAGGAAGAAGTACACTTGGTCTTTAATCAATTCATTGACAGGCTGACAAACCTGGCTTACAATCAACAAACATACATGAGGTCTATATGTGGAGCTTTGTGCATAAAAAAACAACTTCCACAAATCCACAGCACAGCCTGGAACCAGAGCCAGCAGGGTGGTGACGGTAATTTGTGCGCCTGACTTGAGGCGGAGTGTGTTGCGGTGCTGTTTACCTGAGTACATCTGAGGTCTGATTGGAGTCGAGGGGGTGGGAGTGTTTGCTGTGCAGCAGTTCATCTGATTGCACTGAAGACACATGGAGGTGCAAAGAGGCCTGAGAGAGAGAGCAGAGGGAGAGAGGGGGTGTCAGACGTACTACAATGAAGTCATCAGCCTTTTATTACAGCTCATCTAAATAATTACAGCTCTTTTCACAGCAGACTGAGAGCAGCGGTGAGTCTGGAAGCGGCTCTAGAATCAACGCATATCGCTGCAAATACAAACTGTGCTTTTTTTTTTTTTTAATATGTGCGGTTTTCAGTTGTGCAATTACACCCAAGGGTTTAATTAGACGTGTTCAGATATGGTCACACAAGTAACGAAATGCAACAAACAATTTGCAGTTCATTAACAGTTTACACCTTCGCTGCCTCTTTAAACACAGTTGTGGTTTCATGAGGTGCCGCATGCTGAACCAGGTCTTAGCTGGGGGGCAGTGAATCAACACAGACCCCTCATCAGCCTCATCACCTTCCTGTGTGTCCTTTTTTTAATACAAATCAAACAAACAGCGTTTTGATTAGCGGGTTCTGTTGCTTCCCGTCTTTACGCTAAGCAGCTGTAATTACAGGGTTCTCCAAAAACGCAGGACGTTCTGTGTTGACGCGAGGCTGATATGATGGATGGGAGCCGGCATTCACA